CGCGAGTTACACTACCCCAGCAACGCTCTAGGATCATATTAGACTGGTTTTAAAGTGGATTCCGAACCACTACAAACATCCAAGGCAGGATTCGAACCCGAAATCTATGGCACCGAGCGCCATCAGGCCCATCCCCACTAATATATACATCACGAAAAGTTCGCGTGGGAAGGAGAGTTCCCGGGGTAACTAATTACTCCATTCATACACTTTCAAGCTATAAATAGTAATTTATTTAAAAAATTAAATTCCTTTGTCTTCTAAAAAAGGCTGACATTATTTTATGGACGAATAACAACACTCCGGTTTAGAAGCACAGAAGAAAGAGGGTTTTAGCCGCATTCATACCAAGGCGTTGAGTTCTTACTCTTTGGATTGTTGGACACTTCACAGCCTAATGCCTTGATGTGAATGCGACTTTACAAAAAGAGATATCCCAGATAGGTGTAGGGGGAAGTTTCGAGGAAGTGCCTAGTAAGTTGGAAAATACCCAGTAGGCAGCCTGCTTTTGATGTAAGACACTTTACACATGTTGTCTGTCACGTTATGTCTGCGCTACTTTGCTTAGTCTGTCACTCGTTACTGTTTCTGAAAGCAGTGACTACAAAATAAGCTGACAGCATATTTCATCTGCTGACGTTACAAAGCGGACATAGAAATCATTTTCAACCCAAAATTAAAATTTTGTGAGTGGCGTAACACGTTTATTTATACATTTATTCATTTTTTTGTTCTAATGCAGCTGGCAAACACTTAGACAATTATCTTGGATACCTCAAGGCAAGCGCTGCACCGACGTTATTCACTTAGCACTACACAGGAGATATGTGGAGTTTGAAGATGAGCTGCTGACGCGGAGTAACACTACCCCCGCACGGTCTACGATCCGATTAGACTGGGACCTACGGCTTTAAAGTGGATTCCGAATCACTCCAAACATCCATTGCACTGCCGAAACAAGAACCCGAAACCAACCCGTTTATCTAACCCGTTCTTAGTTTCTTTCATATTCAAAATCAATAATTTTTTAAATCTCTATAGCTAGAGTTGATGCGCGTTTTAAACTTGCAGGTGGTAAACCCAAGATAATGATTAAAGGCTCGTTCCCACCGAGGCATGAGGCGTTTCCACGGAACCTCAGAAATCGCTTCACGCCCAGTGAAGTTCCAGTTCCTTCTACTAGATGGCAGATCTACTATTGGCTCAATCCAAGTCACATGACGCGGCAAGCATTCGAGAGTTGAAAGTTGGGCAACTAGGAGCGGTGGATTTCAACCGGTTTCAGGCGAAAGCTGTGAGGCTAGTGACTTTTCAACGCCTCACGCCTCGGTAGGAACGAGCCTTAAGTTTCAGAAACCAATAGAGACGAATGTTATTAGTGCATCAGTTTATTTTATACATATTTTTAGTACAACAAAAAACAAACGGTGCTTATTAAGAGGCAACCTGTTTCCCTTTGCACTTGTAGAGCTTCTTGATGCGCACGGCATCGTTCTTGGCGAGGTTCGTCTTTTGGCGGGTGGAATCGAGGAGCCTTCCGTCCTTGGCGACCATCGTGATGAACTTTCCCTTCTCTCTAGAGAAGGTGTACGATCCGTACAGCATGATCGAGTTGTAGTCGAACGGCGTCAGCAGCTGGTTCCGTTCTGGTTTCAGTTTAAAGAACTGAGACTCTGTGCCTGAAAAGAGAGACGGTAAGAAAAATCGTGAAACGATGCATAGTAATATAATAGAGCACGTATTGGGGTTTCCAGTCTAGGGCAAACATAATCCTCAAGTGATTATACACCTCATGTGTGTACTATTAGTTCGCACTCTGCCTATATATATATCCTGTTCAAATATTCAATCGTTCATAAAATACTTCTTGTTCATCCACTCGAGGTCAAATAAATTTTTTTTTACTCATAGTGGATGACACTGGATGTTAATACAGTTTTTCCAACTAGATATTAGTTAGTATATTAGTTATGTTTTGTAGAACAAAAATAGAGAAAGTAAAAAGATCGTCAGTCCTTTGAAAAAAGGAAGAAAAAAAAATATTTAATCAAAGTAGAAAAGAAGATTGATGTATAATATATATTTCTTTCAATTTGACTCGGACCGGCAAATTAAAATTTATCCGCGGGCCGGATAGAAACTTCCGGAGGGCCGGAGTTGGCCCGCTGGCCGTAGTTTGCCCATTCCTGGTCTAGATAATTCTAGACAGCTGAGTTCAAGATGTAGACAAGAGCAGGAACAGTGTGAGCAGCTCACCTTCCTTGATGTTCTCCCAGTGGATGGTGATCCAGTCGTCCCTGTCCGACCTGCTGTGCTCGTGGTAGAAGCCGACGGCGTGGCCCAGCTCGTGCAACATGGTGCCCAGGTGGTTGCACCCTTTCCCCAGGGAGAGGGGCTGGGCTCCCCCCTCCGCCTTCTTCCTTCCCACGTACGAGTAGCACCTGCCCCGAAAGGAGGCATATTCAGAAAAATTTAACATGGGTCTAGAGATGTACAAAGTCAGCCACCATTTCACAAATTGACAACAGATTGGCTGAAAAAAGCTTGAAAGCGAAGCAAAAGCGTCTCAATTGTTCTCAATTGCATTTGGAGTAAATTGTAAAGTTGGTGTCATGTTGCGAGATACCTGAAATCTAAAGTACACAGTCCAGTCACATTAATGTGCCCCCTGTCAAAAGCCAGAATATACACTCTTGTATGTTTTGGTTTTAAGTGGAGTGTGGAATGTGATATTAAGTGGAATTCTTTATATGCACTCCAGTGCAATGTGCTGCCACCTGCCTTTTGAGATAGGTTATTTCACGTTGACGTCGGAAGTAGGTGGGGGTCACATTAATGTGACTGGACTGCGTATGCATTTAATCCGCATACTTCATCTGATTCGAAGGTTAAATGGAAGGTTAATTCAAGGTTAATTCGAAGTGAAAGCAAATGAACGAAATTCTTTCAAAGGGTGCTCATTTAATGCGTTGTCAGGGAAATAAATTACAAATCTCAACCTGCAAGGTTACGAAAGCTTTGCAAAGGAGACACCATTAAACAAATTATCAAGGGCGCCTATAGGATTTCTCGTGCAACAAAGAAATAAGCTTTACGTACGCTCTTTCATTCTTATTGTGAATGAATCCGAAGGGGAAGATGAACCGAGGGTAGCGGATTTAAGCAATGAAACAAGGACCAGCGCAGGCCGGCGTCATCCACCGATTGGTTTGGTTTGTCGCTCTACGGTCATCTTGTGCACACTTTAGGCTAAACAGATCGGGACCTACAGTTTAAAGTGGATTCCGAACCACCAACAAACATCCATTCCAACATCCATGTGGACTCAAACATCCATCCCGCCAGGATTCGAACCTGACGAACCTGAAGCCTTCGCTACCAATGGCCAGAGCTCTAGCCAATTGGCCATCAGACCGCTGTCATCCACCGAAGACGACCCTAAGGCCATAAAGAGATCACTGACAGCCCGTGTCGTGGTTCTATTGACTCTCTCTTGTTCCGAAATCTAGTTTAATTTCGAATTTGTTGTTTTGTACATTGATGGATCTTGTGTTAAATTTATGTATACCACGAACAGCCCAATGTATGTTTTAGTTAAGCTGCTCAAAGTATGTTCCATGACCGTTGAATCAACCTGCATATGCATAATCTCATCGACGACAGAACATGCGTTTTTCGGACTGTCAACAAATGCTTTTACCGATTATGTCATGTAATAACTGATCGTTAAAAATATTTCAAACTCAATCATCTCAGAAAATTATTGAAATGCAGGTCGTACTATTTTTCCCAGTTATCATCCTAGTCCTAAACTTAAATTTCAATCAAATGGAGGACTCGAGTCTCTCTTTGTGAGTTTGACCTATTTCTTCGGACGCTTTGTTTCAGTGCTTCGAACAGCATGCTACTAAATCATTCATATAACTTGTGTTCTCTTGTGCCATGCGTTCCTATGTGTCATGTGCCATGACAGATTTAATTTTTTTAAACATGCATGCCAGACTTTGTTTCCAGATTAAAATGATTTAAAATATTCTGTAATATTTTAAAATAATTTATAAATATTCTGTAATATTAATTGCTTTAAAAGTTATTCCTACGTTTTGAAATTTTTATTTTAAATTGTATGAGTTTGCAATGAAAGCATTTTCACAAAATGTAATAATAATATGCACAAGAAACATCTGCACATCTGGCTTATGCGTCGTATCTCGAGAATTACGCCGAATTTTTTTTTGCACGTCGAGTTCTTCGATGACAGTTGTTTAGTATAAAAATCCAGCCCCACAGTTGTGTGGAGAGAAAAGGGCCTCACCCCTGTCCCGGGAAGATGTGCAGGTAGACGGGCTCCTTGGTTCGCGGCACAAAGCGGACGCACGTCTTGTTGCCGTACTTCCACATGGCTCGCTGCAGCAGGCTCAGGGCTGCAACAAAAGAAACGGGGCTTTGCTTTTAAAGGAGACATTTCCAACAAGAAACCTGTTTGGGCTTATACCAGCTTAGGAATTTTTGTTTTTTGTTTTTTATTGTAGTTGAAAATTGGTGAGGTTTGTGTTCCACATGCAATTCTATAACTGATTGTACTGGCAACTTGCAACTGGCGTACCGATTACGGAGTACCCATGGGGATAGACCCCTTAATCTCCTCATCTTAATTCACAGATAAAGTTAACAATTTTAATAAGCTGCTTAGATGTTAGTATATGGTAAAAAAAAACAAGATAACATTTGTAAAATTAAATAAATGGTACTCTAAAAAATTAAAAATACTAAAAATGAATAAAAGTTAGATACAAAATAAAAATAAAAATAAAAATAAAAATGTAATGTAATTTTGTAATGTAAATGCAATTTTAGTGATAAAGGTATGCTGAACGGTGGGTGCCCGTAATGATGAATCTGTAAAACAAGTGGTGATTAAGAAAGTCTTCCTACAGTGATTCGAATCCATATCACAGGATTTAGAATCGCCACACTAATAAACATACATCAAAAGTAACTTCACTATGCCGGGAATTGAATCCGGACCGCCTGGTTGAAAGCCAGGATTCCTAACCACTAGACTATACGTGAGTTAACTAATTACATGGAACAGTAAATATCCAGTTTAAAGCTGTCGAATCGATGACTTACTTGGATTCAAGCGAGTCAGACGCGAACAACTTCTAAATGAATAAAGCTCAATAGCTAGCATGATTTTTTTTTTTTTTTTTTTTTTTTGTCCTCTAATTTTCTTTTGGTGTTATGTATTTTGAAATTTTAATTATTAAAAATTAAAATTAGTTTTATTGCAACATAAATTAATTTATACCACTATGACGCCACTCTCTTTGAATTCGTCTATCTTGGCCGCTTGCCAGTTTTCCACACATTCGGTGGTCGAACAGAACAGTCCATCGAAAGTTGAACGAATCGAACTCGTTATACCAGCACAAGTCCAAGTAGTGAATAACAGCTCGCGACTGTCTACTATTAAATTCTTTTGATTTATTAAGAAAAACGAAATAAGCAGTAATTTTGTGTTGATGAATAACAACAAGTTGACTGAGAAACATGAATACACACACACAAATATATATATATATATATATATATATATATATATATATATATATATATATATATATATATACATATACACAGGGTGATATAATTCAAGTCCCCCTTTCAAAATGCTGTAAAAAAAGAAACACTCATCATAATAAGTTCAAATTTGAACTAATGATACTTGAAGAAGGCGGAAACGGTATGGCATCAAAAAAAAGTTCCACCGATTTTTTGCATCCAATTTGGTAAGACCTTGCCGTGGTGGATGGGCTTCCTACTACCAGTGTCACAACTGTTGTAGGACTTGGAAGTCATTTATCTGTCGAAAATCCGAAACAATCATGCACATTAAAACACTACAGTTAGTTTAACGTGCAACTCATGCCAAATACGTTAAAATTTTGATATCACTGCAGCCGAATTCACTTTCTTTATGCCACTTACAGAGCCATCTATTAATACACTTTGGAATTTTTTGATGCCGTACAGTTTCCCCCTGCTTCGAGTATGTTCAGTCCACATTTTAACTCATTTTGAAGAGTGGTTCTTTTTGTACAACATTTTGAAAGGGGGACTTGAATTATATCACCCTATATATATATATAATGTGTGTGGCGATGGTTTCTCTATTATAGTCTTAAATAAATAAGGAATAAAATTTTATATTGAAGTGTTTTCTCATTCGACGAAACATAAGGGGAGATGTGTTTCCTCTCATTCAAGAGTTTGATATTCGCAGATTCAACTCTTTCCGAGTTCCCATAATGCGTGTTAGAAAAAAAGTAAAATATTTCATAACTTTTTGCATTTAACGTAGTTTATAAACTATATCGGCGCGAAATATCATTCTTCTTTGAAATTAAGCCCAATATCTAACAGGGTGTGGTAAAGTTTGCTATCTCATATATGCTGTTTTAAAAGAAGGTTTGCCTTTATTAGGAATGCATAAAAAAATTACTAAGGAAAAAATATTAATTCTAATACAAATATTTTATGTATGAAAATGTTCATATAGTATTTAGAAAAAAGTAAGGTTTATGTAGCGGAAGTTGAAATTTGTTATTTCATTTTAAATTAAATTATTAAACTAAAACAGAAAAAAATGGTAAGGGACGACGAAATATTCAGAATGATATGACAAAAAAAAATGACTTAGCAAGATAAGTTGAAGAGAATATAAAGTGTGATAAAAGTGATAAATACAAACATTTGTTATTTATCTACAATACTACTGTGCAAAAAAGGTAAGACCAATATTCAATTTAAAAATCACGGGGTGTATGGAATTCCAATTTTTTTCTTCTTTTTCAGGTTACTGGCACTGTCCTTGACCTCTGTGTAAAACTTGACGTCAAAATATTCATGAGTGTTTGAGTGACGCTGGGCTTTGTGAGACTCCGGGGGCACCGTTTTGAGTCTACTGAAGAGATTCAACGTGAATAGCCGCGACCTTTGAAGGCCATCCCGGCCGATGACTTTTTAGCATGCATTGAGGATTGGAAAAAACAGTTCGCCTAAGTGCATTGTCTCCGGAGGGGATTCCTTTGAAGGCGATGAAATAAAGTTGGAAGAAGAAATAAAGAGTTTTTGAAAAAATATTAATTGATCATATTTTTTGGATACAGTAGTATTACGAATGCATAAGAGTATTAGTAAAAAACAAATATTAATTCCTAATACAAATACTTTACTTTAAAAAAAAATTCGTATAGTATTTAGAAAAAAGTAAGGTTTATGTAGAGGAAGTTGAAATTTGTTATTTCACTTAAAATTTAAGTACTAAATTGAAATAGAAAAAAACAATTATAAGGGAAGACGAAATATTCATAATGATCTGACGAGCTGAAAAAATGACTTTACAAGAAAATAACATAAAGTTTGATAAAAGTGGACTCGACAAATGATAAAGGAAAACATTTGTTATTTATGTAAAATACTTGATAATTAACAAATATTAATAATGATAATTTATAATAATTATATTTTTGATGCATTATTAAAAAGGGCTTCACGAAGGCAAAAATCACTCACAGACAGTCGAAGACAGGCCATTGTCCAGCTCGTAAGGAATGACGCCCGCCGGCCACAGTTTCTCCTCGCCCACGATGGCATTGCGATCCTGAAAATAACAACAAAATATGTTTCTGTCACAAAAAAGCCAGCCATCCTAGAAATATCACCTCACTGTCCATTCCCAGACAGCGTGCGTTTTTCGCCCCGTATTTATCAGCACGAGGAAAAGATGCATTGTGCAAGACCTTCTCGCAGCCAAGGACTTCTCCTTTATCGACTGCAAACAGCAGTTGAAAAACAGCCATAAATTGATTAGCACAGCTCACTTCAGAAGGAAGTGAAGCAGATGTTTCGTTGCAGTGGAAAATATAAATCTTGGCCATTTTTCTGTCGGCGCTCTTTGCTAAAGTCATGAATCTAATACTTTAAAACTTTTAGAAGATTTTTTTTCCTGTTCATCACAGGAATTTTTTTCAGGAAATACAGTTTAATGAATGAAAGGATTTTTGTATATATATTGTAGGGTTTTTCAAAATAAATAGTTGTACTAATGGAACATGTTAGTTGCGAAATTACGCACCTACTTACTTAATATTCAATATGTGGAAAATATATGTATTGTTCAAATGCAGCTGGCAAACACTTAGACAATTATCTTGGATACCTCAAGGCAAGCGCTGCACCGACGTTATTCACTTAGCACTACCCAGGAGATATGTGGAGCTTGAAGATGAGCTGCGGACGCGGAGTAAAACTACCCCCGCAACGCTCTACTATTCTGCTAGACCAGGACCTACAGTTTAAAGTGGATTACGAACCACTCACAAACATCCATAGTATCGCCGGGACTTCAACCCGAAACCTGTGGTATCGTGCGTCAGAGCGCTAGCCATTCGGTCAATCAGGCTCAAAATAAGTAGTTGTACTAATGGAACATGTTAGTTGCGAAATTACGCACCCACTTACTTAATATTCAATATGTGGAAAATATAGACGCAGAAATTAAAATTTTATGTGACATGGAAATATTATGGACGTAAAAAAAAATTAAAAATTGAATATTAACTCAAACTGTTGTACTTCTTTAACGAGTTAAAGGAATGAGCCCCCGTCCCCATTTGAATACATAAGCCAAGAACTCCGCTCGAAAACACTTTTCTGAGTGTTTCAGGGTGACGTCGAAAACGAAACCTCCCCCTCTACCCTTACAAAGCAAACTCCAGGTGTCTACCTAAATCCTTCGACACGGGACCTAATACAAGTCTTTTATTTATTTATTTGTTTTATTTGATTTATTATTTATTTATTTATTGATTGACCGAAATTGATTTTGTGCAGAGCGAACAACTAGAATAATTACTACGAATACTAGCGAATTTTATTTCTCCTACAGCTGGCTAATGTTGTCGCGTGCTTTACGTTTTTCGTCCACTTCCGCATTCACGTGCTTTGCGCTTTACAGGAACTTTAGATGCACGGAAATTTCTGGTCTCAAAATGCTGGCAAAGATGAAATAAGGCACGTTTGAAGAATGATTACACAATTACCCCTGATGTTTCATTGTTTTAAGGATAAATGAATACTAAGATTTTAAAAAAAGGAATAATTATTGGATTTTAGGGAGTTATAGAATAGTTAAATAAAGTTATTATTTATTTACTCCGAATTTCTTTCAAATTATTTCATAACTTTATGAATGTTTTTTTTTGTTTGTTCTAATGCAGCTGTCAAACACTTAGATAGTAGTCTTGGATGCCTTGGATGCACCACCGTTACTCACATAGCACTATCCTTCTAACTAAATTGGGGCATGTGTGATTCATTTCAAATTCTAAAAGCTCGTGTGCACAACCATACTTCATTTGAAATGTTAGAGACTATGAGAATTTAGAAATGAATGTAAAATTAGAAACAGCCAAGTCTCGTTATGATTTAACCATGAATTGTAATTTATAATACTTACAACTAAATATTTTACTTAAAGAGCCAAATGTGCATCATAAAGTTATTTATATTCTGAAGTTATAATATACATTTTTCGTTTACTATGATATAATAAAGAATTTTTATGATACAAAATCAATTATAATAAAATCAGTATTATAATAAACCATAAAACATTACTTATGGTTTATTTCTGAGAGAATCTGGCAGAGAGGAGGGGGTGATGAAATTAACGATTTAATATTAATAAAAGTTATCATTAAAATTAAATGAAGCGTGCGCCTTACTTCCGGATCGACTCCGAGGATGTCTCCTTCGAACAAATCAGGATTTTCTAGACCAGAATCGTTCCAAACGAGCTCTGAAGAAGAAGAAAATGACAGGAATATTGACAATTCTTTGAAAATAAGTAACATTCATCATCTTATTCTGAACATCAAATGACATCAACAAGTATAATTAATGTGTTTATTACATAAATTCTAATTCTTGGATGGCGCTGTTGTCATTTATAGACATTGTTCTTATTTTTACAGCTGTTGAGCTTGTCAAATCTCGTTTTGATCAAT